TTTTACAGTACAGGAAATGAGAAAGAAACTGGTAATGTAAGTGAGAACAGCAATCAGATCTATGATATGTTTAGTGAAAAAGCTGTACCGAGATGTCTGGGGAACTGTTGAGTAAGGTGCACAGAAATATGTGCCACAGCAAGTCTATAGGCACTACAACATATGGAGGAACACAAATTACCTGATGCAAAATGGGAAACCGGGAACTACAGGAATACGAGAAATGTGGTGAGGCTGCAAAGAAAAAAAAAACAACCCAGCACTGAAGGGTGGAACTGGAGGGAAGACTGATATAATGATAAAGTATTAGGATAGCACTTATAAAAAAAAATTGAAAGAAATGAGTGGGACCTGGAATAGTTTTGTGGGAAGAAGGACAGGAAACCCTTGGATCACAGAGCTTGGAATCTCCTGGGGAGGCCCTGATCAGAGTGGATTTGCTTGGAAATTACTTGCTTGTGTGATTTCTTTCTTCCACTGTGGAAGACTTTGGTTCCCCAGGTATGGCTGGGGGACATCATAACACAAACATGAAATGACAAGCTGGGTCCAAGGACAATCTCAGAAGTCCAGTCAAAACCTCCAAAAATGCCAGAGGCAGAGCTGAGATCAGCCTACAGGTGCTCATGTAGCCCCAGCCAGGACCACCTCAGTCTAATGGTGCTCCAGAGCCTAAGGCTGATGTCAGGAATGGGGTCCAGGTGAGGCTGGTCATGGCAGCTGAGGCCTATTGGGTGCCCACAAGGCCCACAATGGTTCTGTTCTTGACAAACATTTGTTCAGCAAGAGGTTCCTTCCCTTCATCAGTTCTTTTGGTTAGAGCCCAAAGATTTTTGTTATGAAGGATTATGCTGCTGTTCAGTGATGAAACTTACACGCCACGTGTCCAGAAGCCAAACAGATTCCTCCTTAAAAACATGACACTGTTTTATTCAACTCTAGCTTTTGCACTTAGATACACATCTGAATTTTGTTTATAAAAGCTTTTTCCTCACACATTTTCGTAGCCATTTTCAAGTAAATTCTGTACTTCAAAGTCAAGTTTTACTTTGGTATTTGAAACTGTGTGGTGTTTTTTTTTAATGTGTAAGAAAGACAGGTCACTCACTTATCCAATAATGCTTATGTGAAAAGGCCCATATGGTCCTGTTAATCCAAGGGAGAAGTGTAATTTGCATCTGACAAGGCTATCACTTTTCCCTCTAACCAGCACCCTTACTGATGCCTTTCTTCAGCGCAGACTGCATACCAAGGCTTGCAGGTCCTGCACTGACCATGAGTCAGAGCACATTTAGGGAGAATTTCATGTCATCAGCACTTAAGTCAGCAATGCAGCTTACTTGTGCAACTTTCCTGAGGACCCTCGGTCTACAAGAACCTTCTTGGACTAAACCCCTCCCTCTGACAGTTCCCAATATTTCAGCTGCCTGGCTGAAGGATGAGGATTACAATGTACAGAGATCCTGTGTCTTTCTCTGTTGGAAATAACTTCTACATCAGAAGAATAAAGAGACTAATCTAACCCCTCACCTAAACCACTCCATTTTTCTTGCCCATCAGCCTCTTTCTTACTCCTCTATCCTACAAACAACAGCTCACAAAAGGTGAGGGAGACAAGAGCAACCAGACTCTATTTATTTGCCAATAGAGTTGCAAAGGGTGCCAGAGATAAGCCAAAGGTATTAATGAAATGTCTACCCATGCCCCTAAACCCAAGTTTGCATCAAGCAGCACTGTCCAGTTAGAGTAATTATTCTGGCAACTTCTAACATGTCAAATAAGCCCAAATGGAGTCAGTGTTAGATACTCCACTGGCCCTCAGAGGAGCTAGGCTTGTGCTCAGTTATCTTCTACTAACTAATTTCAACTTGCTCTTCCTAAGGCTTGCACAGGGCACTGATGCAGACTTCATAAGGCCTCAGGCTGCTTAAAAATAAGTCCCTGTGGGTACCAGCATTCAGTCCTTGTTCTGGCCTGTACCAACCAGCTGTGGCAGAGACCAGGCTGGTAGGAGAAGCAAGCAAAAGATGGAAGCCAGGAAGAAAAAAAAAAAAAGGTAAGTCAGAGATAAAAGAGTATGTGCCCTTATCTACACATGGCAATGGTTTAATTTCATAGATAGCCTTTTAATAAGCTAACCAGAATGAGATCTTTAACTCCCTATTGCTAACACTATCAAAATTATGTCTTATAAGGCATTAAGGAGTCATTTGCTCTTACAGCTGACGTAAAAGGATTTGTTTGCACATGTTCAACATTACTGACTTTACAAGTTGCATTTTAAAGAATGACAAAAGCTTTGCAGGGTAAAATACTGGTACACACTGTGCTTAAAGAAAACAGATGGGTGTTGCGGGCATCTGTGCTTTGTGTTCTGACCTGCTTTGGATATATCTGTTGAATTTTAGCAGTAATTTCAAGACCAACTCATTGGCCAAGGTCCTCTAAAGCCCAGTGCTGTTTAGGCATCAGCTAAAAAGATTACATCTAGTCTAAAGGACAAACAAGAACTGTATTCAGAGAATGCTGGAGAGAAGGTAGAAAAGCCAATATGCTTTTGTAAACATCTCAGTTACACCATAGTCTTCTATGGTGTAGTAAGTTTACATTTTGGTCTCTGTTAGTCCAAAAAGAAATGCAACAGAGAGAAAAAATATCAAAGGAAATGGTAATGGGCCAGAGTCCACAGAAGGAAAAAACTTCATTTCAACAGCTGAGTGTGACAGTGGAACACCAGGCTGGGCTGGGTAATCACCTGGGTAATCTTGGTCAAGTTTGTTCCCAAAAGGCTGACTGCCCATCAGTGTTTCCTAGCAGTTAAAAAATTTTTACAGGATCAAAACTAGAATTATTCCCTTCAAGTTTTGGTTTTTGTTGGGTTTTTGTTGGTTTTTTTTTGTTTTTTTTAAATTATGTATTTCTTTCACACATTCTTTGTATTACATTATTTTCAGTTCATATGTTGTATCTCATGGTTAACATCTTCAACAAAGCTATATTTAAAAAATATGTCTGTAAAGAAATTTCTATTGGCTCTTATAGTTCTCAGCTCCTGTTTGAGAGACAACACATCCTACATTAGTGAATACAAGTGTAAGCTGTGTAAGTAGATAATTTTAGATCATCACATAATATAGCAAAACAAATAACTATAATAAGTAGTAGTTAGTTCAGCCCAAAAGGATAACATTCAGATGAGTGTTAAGTAAAATATACTAATATATTATATGAATATACACCAAATAAAATTGGAAGATAAAAGAGAGGTTCACTACTTCTCACATTTCTTTAGTATTTATTCTTCCATTTATTTGCTAGACTTATACTTACTGACAATGTGATGAAAAGAAACTATTTGCATATAAAATAGCTACACCTGTTTATTTAGTAAGGAATTTAGTACCTAGTAATTGCAGAGTTGTGCAACTAAATAACCCTTAACAGTTTGGAGGAGATTACCCCCATGCTGTTTCAGCTAAGGCACCGCTCATACTATAGGTAGTCATCAAGGTCAGTTATTTTCCTGGCTCATGCAGCAAACCAAACACAGCCTTACACAGTGTGTAAGAAATTAACCCATTTATCATAACCTCCAACAAAGGGCTTGTAAGAGAAATAGAATCATAGAATGGTTTAGGTTCAAAGAGACCGTAAAGACTGTGTAATTCCAGGTTGATCAAAGCCACATCCAGCCTGATCTTGAACACTTCCAGGGGTGGGGCAGCCACAGCTTCTCTGGGCAACCTGTTCCAGTGTCTCACCACCCTCATAGTGAAAAAATTCTTCCTAATGTCTAATCTAAATCTATACTCTTTCAGTTTGAAGGCATTACTCCTCATCCTGTCACTACATGCCCTGGTAAAAAGTCCCTCTACGGCTTTCTTGTAGGCCCACTTCAGACACTGGAAGGCTGCTATAAGGTCTGCCCAGAGCCCTCTTTTCTTCAGGCTGAACAACCCCAACTAACTCCACCTCAGAGGTACAGAAGAAGACAAATAAGATATAATATTCACATTTAGCCTGTTTTCAATTATTCAAATTGCTTGCTTGCTGGGACGCTGAACTGAATGGGGATTAGCTCAGGTGCAGAATTCAGTTGGCCCCTGTGCATTATGTCATATTTGCCAGCTTTTTTCACAGTGTGGGTCAGAACTTTGCTGGGAGTCACAAAACGATCCAGAGGGGGCTGGACAGTGTTAGAGCTGCTTGGACTGACTCTTGTACACATCCTCCCCTGGGCCAGCAGCGGTGTATTTTCTCCCTCAAGGACTAAGAACAAATACTACTCTTTTCTATCTCTCAAAACTATAGCTGTAGAAGGTTTGTTTCTCAAAGAATAGCTGGAGATGCACATAAATGCTTTACACACCTGAATTCTCTACTGCTGCCTCTGAGCATGTATGCGGATTAATGCCCTTCTGCAGAGAACACCTTCACTTCAGTTTTTAAAAGTAGTCCCTGTGTTCCCTTGATGTTTGAACATCCTTTGTGAAAAGAAGTAATCCTGCTATGTGTCTGACAACTAAAGTCATAACTTAACTGGATGTTTTATAGTAAGGAAAAAAGTGCTTCTGAATGCAATACAAACTGTTCAAAAGAAACAGAATAGAGAGTATATTAACTTTAGAATACTATTTATCTTCTGGCAAATAATACCCACCTTTACTATGTTTTCAACTAATACAACCCATGTACACAAAGGTAAGCTGCACTGCAACTGAAGACAGTATCTTCAACAACCAGAGTGAAGATAACATGGACAGACTGCTGGGGGAAGTCAGACAGAGGCAATATCCTTTAACCAGCCAATTGAAACAGCTGGGAAAAGTACCCAACCTTTGGGCATGCGTGTTTGTCTGAAGGAGGACATACATCACAGAAGGTTTATCTAGGCTTTCTAACTAGGCTAATCTCCTGGAAGACACTAGTTTCAAACTGAGGCTACTTATATCCCTCATCCAGCTGCTCTTGAGCCTTTGTTTGTTTGTTTGTTTTTTCTTCTAGAAAGAGCCTGATCTCATTTGTGTCAACTTTTTTGGACATAATATTTTCATGAAAGCCATTCGAAATTTAACATGACAGTGAGGGCAGAGAAATGGATTAAGAGAGGAATTGATCAACAAAAGCCAAAAGGTTATTTCATACAAGGTGTTATGAACACAAGTTCCTTTGCAGGCCCCACGAATAATCATTAGCAAAGTGTATGGGGCCCAGCAAATGGCAAACGCACACACAATTATGGCAAGTGACTTTGCTATTTTTTTGTCCTGCTGCAGTTTTGACCTGGTCCTTGCACAGAAAGAAATAGAGAAGTCATTTGCAGGGGTGATAGAACCGCCTCTGGATGGAGATGAGCTCTCAGTTACCAAAGACTCTTTCTTTGGCCTTGTGGAGGAGGAAACACTGTCCTCTGCTTCCGATGAAGGAGAAAACGTTCCCAGCCTCGGTGAGAGGCAAAATCTCCATGAGAGGCTGTCACGCCTTGCAGGCTGGTAGTCCTGTGTGCTCCCGTGCCGCTGGCGCCTCTGGATGTTGTGGAAGATGTGCACGTTGAAGTAGGTCACCGAGAGCAGCGGCACAAAGAACTCCAGGGTGGAAGCACACAGGAGGAAGTACCAGTTGTCGAAGAACTCGGCGTGGCACTGATCGGCCGCTACCACGCTGTATCCGGCCACATGCTCCCAGAAGAGGATTGCTGGGCAGTAGAGGAGGAAGGCAAAGACCCAGATGGCCACCATCTTGATGACAGGGTTGGATGTTGTTCTTGGCTGGGCTCTGTAGGATACCTGCGAGGGAAAAAAAGAAAAAGGTCACTCTTGTAGAGACAGGTTTTGGAACTTACAGAAGTAGCAAGAGAGGAACTTAGCAGAGTACTTGGTAATTAAGAACGAGGGCTATGCTGATCAGCTGGAGCTCACACAAGTATGTTTAATTCACTGGTGTTGACATAATGTAGGGGTGTCTCTCTACAGGTTAATGTAACTATGCTAGGGTCCTGGTCCATGGGTGAAACATGATCATCCATCAGTACCTAATAATTGCTATGCCTTGTTTGAGACATCTGTGGTCTGAAGTGCCAGAGTAATTAGCATTTTATAGTTGTTCAGAGCATGACTCCCATTCACTGACAACTGCACTGCTTTTTGCAGTGTTTTACAAGCAAATAGGATTATATGCGTCACAGTGGTCAACAGAATATACGTGGCACATATATTTAACACCCACTTTTGAATTACACACTTCATGAGCAGGTAGGACTAGATTGCAGCTCTGCAGTGGAGCCTTTAGCTGATGAAACCTTCTTCCCCACTCCAGGGCCAGTACATATTTTCCACTATATGTTGCAGAACAGATAGATATCTTGTAGCTTACATCCTGCTCCATCCCTTTCACAAGATGACAGGGTGAACATGTAATTCTTGGAATTTAGTCATCCAATTGGAAAAAAAAGTATGAATTAATGTCAGAAAAGCCTATCATACAAGTGTCCATAGGTCTTAATTACATATGTGCAGGTGGTGTGAATTTTGCACTGTAAATGCTGAGTCTTTGGCTTTCCATTATAACATTTCTTATGTGCAAAATGTCTTAGTGTTTGATTTCCCAGATTTTTTTCCTTTAAATAGAATAAAATAAAATAACAGAAAGTAATAGAATATAATAAAAAGGCAAGTATAATAAATAAAATTAATTATCATTAATAAATGAAATCCTATCATATGACATTATGTTGACATTATCATACATCACCAAAGAGCTGGAACCTTTAGCTCTCCCTGACATTTCCCTGCCGCTAGAGCTAACAGACTGACTAGTCAGAAATTCTGGTCTCCATCCTTAGCATGAACCAAGACATAAAGCACACGTATGGTGGGTAGGATGTTCTGCGGAGAGCAGAGACATAGGTTGTGTTTGGGGTTCTGCCCAAGGTGTTGAGAGGAGTTTATTGCCTCACGTCCACAGGCAGTCTGGGCAATCTGCCTCTTGTCCCACTCTCTGCCCACTTTGATCTTGCTCCCAGTCTTCTCCAGGAACATTTGAGGTCACGTCTCAGCCCTAGACATCCTCCCCAGTGTCCTTCACCTCACTGCCCTAGCCCCACTGCCTTTTCCTCCCATTTTAGGGCATTTTAGGTCCAAACTTTCCCCCTGATTTTAGGCCCAAACCCATATCCAGTTTATTTCTAGTTTCGTCTTTCCTTGCCTGCTTTATACCAGCCTCATGCCTTACCCTTTTCACCCCTCAGCCTGCTTTCCCTCAAGCAGCAGCACAACAGCAACCTGCAGCAGAAATTGTGAGAAAAGTCCTGTTTGACCAGCTCCAGACTGGAACATGCTCAATGCAGAATGTTCACCACATCTAGATGCAGATATCTAATAATTTCCATGTGCCAGCACATTTTTGAGGGTATTATCTCAATTAAATTTGGGCTTATACTCACCAACATGGCAAAGGTGGGTGAATATAATCCACCAATGAGCTTGAGACAAAAATCAGAGAAGTTATAAACAGGGTACTTACAGCTTTAGTAACTGACAGAAAACGGTCGTAGCTGATAAGAACAATGTTAAATACTGAAGCTGTGCACAGGAGATAGTCCAGAGCTAGCCAGAGCTTGCAGATGCCTCTTCCCAAGAGCCATTTCCCCGTCAGGCAGTAAGGGATGTAGAGAGGTATGCAGAATGCACCTGTGGAAAGCAACCACAGAGACATCACACAGTTCATACGGATTGCAGGCGGTACTCCTGGCAGCAGAGACACTAGTCTGGTGTTTGGCCAAAAAAAAATAAATCTATACAGGAGAATATGTAATTTATATATATAAATTCTTACATTCTCATGAAATCCAACAGTGACTTTGTATGTATTAGAGTTTAGTGTATTTGGGTGTGCTGACTGTTGGGAATAAGCTCAGGGCAAACCAGCAAAGAAGGATTTGCTTAAGAAGAAAACTGCACTTTAGGCAACTTATAGTTTCTAAAGATATATAATCAGTGCTGCAGCATAAATACGCTGTGGTTGCACTCTGACATGTAACCTCATCACTGTTTATCCTCTAGTCTTTTATCTGCGTTACAGTTTTCCCGCAAACACATCTGCAGATGTTGCTAATGTCGGTTATTAATTTAAGATTGGCCAGCTTTTGTAAGCTAGACACAATATATTGGACAGTCTGTGTGGTATCTAGAAACCTCTTCTACCCAAAATATAGCAGTCACAGCAGAGGTATGAAACCTTCTCCCACTTTTAAGATGTGTTTTAATCTCATGATAGCTCTCCAGCTCAAATTAACTCCAGAACTATTTTTTGGTTTGTTTTTTTTTTTTTTCCTCCAAAAGGCCTTCCACTGTTTATAATAAAATCATGTATTTTGTTTGCCAGCAACTTCTTCATTTTACCACTAATATTCTTTCAAAAGTATGGCACAGTATCTGATGCTACATTCTTGAAAACACCAATCCGCTAGAGACAAATACAAAACTATGTGCACCTCCAAGATCCACTTTAAACTCTTCAGATTATTCTTTTTCAATATGTCCATCAGGATTTTAGAAATTACTGAATTTAGAAATTACTGAAGTTGCTGTGGCCCACTGACAATAAACCTCTGGGAAAGGAGCTGACAGACTGTAATCAACAGGCAAATGCGCACAGCACTTTGAATACTGATAGCTTGCTTTAACATATACCTTAAATACAAGCAGCATCACTATTGTACAAAATACTCATTTTTCAGAGTTGCTGATGACAGCTACTGCTCTCATCAGCTTCAACGGGATCAATGTTTGGCACCATGTCAAAAAGTAATGACTGCTTTTAGCTATAGACATAAATACAGATGCAAGAACCAGGTTTTAAGCATTTATATTGGAAACTATTCTCATTTTTAATAATCAGAAGCTGCAAAAGACATGAGTCACGTGCCTGGAAAAAGTCCAGATTTCTAAGAAATTAAAAAAATACCATAGCAACTTCAGAAAATAAAGCATTTTCTGACCGATCCCAGAGACAAAGTCAGATTTACATGGTCTGTAGGCCAACATAAAGCTGATATCAATCATTTACACTTGGCTGATTTAAGACTCCATGAGGCATCAGCTGCAAACAAGAACTGATGTAGGAGGTAGATATTTAAACCTCTTGATTAAGATTGTAAGATAACAAGGAGAAACAGACTTTTGCAGAAGACCTGAGCAATGAAATGACAGCTCTAGCAAACTGTCTGCCTGGAGCAGGAAAATGAAGGCTCCAGCACACGTATCGTTTGGTTTCCACCCCACAAGTCAAGCCCCAGAATTAGGCACCATCGGTTATAAATGGCACAAAAGAAGAAAAATCTTAAAGGCTAAAGTAGTACACTGCACCACACAGCAGTGACAAAGGAATGGCAGTTTGGAGGGACAGTATTGCCAGGAGTAGAATAGGTCAGTGAGTGTTATTTCTCTCTTCATTAGTTTAGTGAATACTGCTCTCTGTGACTGTCCTGAAGAGAGAGCACTTGTGGGCAGGAATAATATCTCCTTGATAGCCCCAACTCAAGGTGTTTGCTGGAATGTGGGCTTTGCCAGGCTTTCTGTGCTGCATGGGCTGTTTCTCTGGCCTGAACCCTGAAGGACTGGGGGCTGCACCTCCCACCTCCTCTCCTGTCATCACCCACCAGGACTGGATCCGTGGCACCTCCAGGGTACCAACTGTCCTGGACTTCTGCAATGACACTGTGGGGAGAGGGGACTAGCAAGGAAAACAGACAGGGGATGCCAGCAGGCTGTTGCTGGCATCAAGAAATCCATCTGATCTATAGCCTGCATTGAGGGGAAGCAGGTAAAAAGTCATAGTGGTGAAGTATTTTTCTGTAGTGTAATACATTTGTAAGCCATTAGTACTAATTAATTTACCTGGATGTGCCACAGGTAGCTTTATAAGAAAACAGTTACATTGTCAAATATGAGGATGTTCTGAAATATGTGATCTTATGGAAGTTACATTGTCAAATATGAGGATGTTCTGAAGTATGTGATCTTATGGAAGGATCAAGGGTAAATCATAAATAGCAGCAAACAACTTCTTTCCTTCAGTTAGTATTCATATACAATAGTTGTTCCTTTTTCCTGAAGCAACATCAAAAGTATTTATATTTTAAAAAAGAATGAATTTCTCATTATAACATATTTTGAGATATAACAGTCTACTAAAACACTTAATGCAGTTTCCACCATTCCTTCCCCTCCTCCTAGAGACAGAGCTGGGAAATAGTTCTCTTAGAAGAAACCAACCACCCAGCAAAAGAAGCCCCCTCGCTTCTCCTAAGATCCCGAGGAAACAATCAGCACACGCCTCCACGGCTGCCACTTACCCACTGCAAAGTCAGAAATGGCAAGGTTGAGAAAGTAATAGTTACTCCGGTGCCGGAGGTTTCTGTCCATGATGAAAGCAAGGATCACCAGGACGTTTCCGAGGATGGTGACCAGAGCCAGCAATGCCATGAGGAAGGCCAGCAGCACCAACACGCCCAGGGAAAACTCGGGGCTCGGCGGCTCTGTGGGAGAAGTCTCATTAAGTGCTCCGGCCACGTGCAGGGTTTCGGCAGTGCTGTTGTCCATGTTGCCTCTCCAGGTCAGGTCAGTCTGGAAAAAAATTCACATCTGGCAGAGTTATCCAAAAAGTTGAGACAAGTCTGTTAACAGGACGGGCTGAATACCGACACATCCAAAAAAAATCACAATATCAGAATAACCGATCACAAGACTTCAAGGCTTGGAGCGTCTCGCGTTCCTTGATCTGAATGCATCTATTGATCTGAAAACAAAATCTATAAAAAAGACACCTCATAAGCAGCAGTTAGTGCACGCTTTAAAACAAATTATCTCTTTCTTTCCTGAACGTTGATCTTTATCTTCTGAGGTCAGAAAAGTTAGTCTGAAAACAACCTTTTTCACAGTCAAGCAGTTTGCATATTAGCATTGTGCAAGCATTTTTACACATTGATCTCATTTTCACTTCCCCAGTGGTTAGCAGGATTTAAATTATTACAATTTTATTTCTCTTACAGTAAAATGCAGGCATGGTAGTGCTTGCTGCTCTACCACTTACCACATTGTACAGTTAAGAACAGAGATGTATACTTCTTAATGCTGCTGGTTACAGAGCATTTAAAATTCAGTTATACACAGCAGAAGTGTCACCAATACCTTTTCAGCTCATCCTAATCAGGAGCACGTCCAGCTTCGGGCACAGCAAACCAAATACGTAGACTTTGGAGGTGAGGGATGGCCCATCTAATCCTCCACTTGCCAAGTGGTTCCAGGTGGTCCCACTCCACCAAGTGCCAAACACTTCACCCTCTGCAGGTGTCAGAAGGCAGGTTCCTTCCTCATCCCAATTTCCCTTATTTTGGTAGGAGCACGTGGAGGTTGGCCGGCCGTGGTGGTGACTCGTGCCTGCTGCTCATCCCTAAACCCCGTAGCACTTCCTGCCGACAGTTCTCACACCGAGACTGCAACTACGGTGGGTGCTTGAGAAGATGTAGGGCAATAAGCAAGGAAAGAGAAGGTGGACAAGGTGTGGGGAAGGAGAGGTGCAGTGCTCTGATCCTGTCTTGGGGAAGCAAAGGGAAATACACTGCAAGGAGTAACTAAAGGAAAAGGCGCAGGGCAATAGGAACAGAAGGAAGGAAGGAAGAATCCTCAGGAAGGATGAAACGTGACAAACAGGCACCTGCCTCGGGTGCCTGTGCACAAATGCAGCCTGGGACCTGTGTTCCTCCAACGCACAGGAGGAACTAGAGCTCCCTGTGCAGCCACAAAGCCACCAAGCTGTCAGAGTAACGGAGGTGGTGGGGCAGCTCGGGCAGGTGGAGGGCTGCAGAGACAAGCTTGTCAGGCAAGACAGGCAGAGAAGATGAGGAGCAAGGATTACCTGCCACGTGCAGGAGCAGATTGAATGTATGGAGCTCTTCCATGAGACAGGCAGTCTGGTTGCAAATTTGTGGGTCCGGGTTGGAGGAGGGGCCAGTGACACAGGTGACATAGTGGTGGGAGCGTGTTGCAAATCACCCTGAGCAGGGTCAGGCAGTTGATGAAGTCTTCATTAAGCAAATCAAGAAAGCCTCTGGATCACAGTCCCTATTTGTTATGGAGGACTTCACAACATCTGCTGGAAGGGCAACACAGCAGGTACAAGCAGTCAACAAGACTCCTGGAGAGTGTCAGGGGCAATGTTCTGATAAAAGTACTGAGTGGCCAACAGGGGTGACACACAGCTAGATCAGCTGTTCACTGGTAAAGAGAAGCTGGTTAGGGAGGCTTAATCAATGGTAGTGACTATGATACAGTGGAGTTCAAGATCCTGGAGGTGGTGAGGAAGGAGGGTAGCAGAGTACAGGCTATGGACTTCAGGTAAGCACACTTTGGTTTATTCAGGAAAGTGGTAGGTGGGATCCCATGGGAGGCAGCTCTGAAGTGAAAATACGCTCAGGAAACTCGCAGGCCTTTAAGGACAGCAGCCTCCATGCACATGAAAAGTCCATTCCAATTGTCAAGAGAATAAGTAGAGGTATCAGGAGACTGGCTGACCAGGGAAGCTACAATGCAAAAAGGCAGCACAGAGGAGTTTGAAGCAGGGACAGGCTACAAAGGAGGAATTAAGAAACATTACCTGGCCACAGAAGCATGATGTTGGGGAAACCAGAGCTCATCTAGAGTTGATGCCTGTAGAGAACATCAAAGACAACATGAAGAACTTCAGCCACCTCATTAATAGTAAAGTGCTGAATATAGGCCTGTTGCTGAATGGGGCCAGTGTTCTAGTGACAGCAGATGTGGATGAGGCTGATGTATCCAATGCTTTCTTTGCTTCAGTCTTCACTAGCCAGGTCTCGCTCTCCTCCGTGCTCAGAGAACCAGTTCAAGGAGGAGACCTGTCAGGAGCCAGTGAGAATAAGGCAGGGATTACTTGAGAGGACTTGACGCATAAGACACCATGGGACCCGATGGGCTACACCCAAGGCTTCTGAGGGAACCAGCTACCATCCTTTCAAGGCTACTTTCTACTCTCTTTGAAAGGTCATGGAGATGAGGGGAGGTTTCCAGGGACTGAAAGAAGGCAAATGTCCCACTCATCTTCAAACAATGCCACAAGGACAAAAGGTCAACCTCTCTTTGGTCCCTGAGAAAACAACAGAGCAAGACCTCATGGAAGTAATTTCTGAGAACTTGAGGGAGGAAAAGGTGACTGGGAACAGTCAGCACGGGTTTGCCAAGGGTAAATCATGCCTAAGCAACTTGGTTGTCTTCTTTGATAAAATGATTGGATTAGTGGACAAGGGGAGAGTAGCCATTTGCTTTTAAAAATTAGGGAATAAATAAAATGTTAAAGTTTTAATCATAGTCTTTCACGGGGCTGAGAGAGAAATCTATATGGTCACTCCTTCCTTCTTGTGGAGAAAAAATCTTAGCCTAACATAAAGGAGGCAGAGATTAAGAGAATCATTAGGCTTAAACAGTCATGCCAGAAACAAACAAACAAAGATACAATTTCTTCCAACATGTATGTTTTATTTGTTTGGGCTTTTTTAAGACCTGAGAAGGTAAAATTAGAAAAACATTGTTGTGGTTTGAGTTGAACCTCACAGAGTCATAGGCCTACTGTCACCATGTATTTACAAGAGCTATCGGACATCTGCAAAGACAGAAGAAAATGCAAGGGCATGAAATGGCAAAATGGATGAGTGAGTGCATAGAGAGACCTGGCTTAAAAATCTCTTTGGCAAGCAAAGTCTATTTGTGTCAGTGCATGAAAGGCACGTCCAAGAAAAAATGCTGAATTATCATCTTACCATAACCCTGCAAAATGTCCAAGAGGGAGGAGAAGACCTCCCAAGAGGCCACCTTGACCAAGACAGCTTTAGTACTGTGTGCACAGCAACTAAGTGCTCGACTTACCCTGGGAGCACTGAGCAAAATTTTCAACAATTAGAAAAATACAAAAAATTCTTCAAATATACAGGAGTGGTGTGTCAAAACAGTTTGAACACTCTGTGTGTAATACAGAGCGTGAAAAACATTGATGATCAGTAGCTTCACTGCTCCGTGTGGTTTCAGGGGTGCTGCACGTTGTGCTCCCTGACACACCCTAGTTTTCCAGGACTGCAAAACGTGGAAACAGTTGACCTAGTCAATAATTTTGTGATCTATTTTTCCAAAGTAAATAAAACATTCTTTAATCACAAAATGAAAACTGAATTTTTATACTAAAAGCATAGGAATAGAAAAGCAGACAACTCAAATACTTTCCTGTTTATGACCCATCTACAGTTTCCCTTTAACAGATGTTTATTTTGTACATCAGCTATTCTATAAATGTTTTAAATGTGTGTGTTTAGTTTTTTTAAGCCTCACAGAAAAACAAATCCCACAAAAATCTACAGCAGCACCTTAGCTCGTGACAGTGAAAACAGCTGCGATGAATCTATTACCTCCTCCTGAAGCTGCATCTCTCTTAGCAATCAGGCTCACAATCTACCCATGTGAGGCAAGGAAGCATAACGAGCATGAATGGTGAAAGACAATCGTCCACCCATGTGAAAACTGAGAAGTCTTCAGTTCCAGACCTCTGAACAGAATGGCATGTTAGCTTCTCAAAGCCATCAACTTCTGTGCTATGATTAAGCTGCTTACGTGCATTTGAGCTGTGCTTGCAAAGGACTACTCTGCTTTTGCAACACTTCTACAACCAATATCAAATTAGACAAAAAATGCTATCTGACTATTGATCTTCATTGTTCTGTGCATCACATTTCTCTTTTCATATCCTATACATTTCTATGTATATACAAAGAGGAAAGAAACATAAAAGGGGAGAGTGGGGGGTGGGTGGGAGCAGAAATTAACTAATGACTCTCACTTACCCATCCATGAAAGCCTTCTGGGTGAGTTGCAATACCCAACACAAGGTAAGAAAGTTTGGCACATGGAATGTGTAATAATCAAGCTCCATTGCCTTCTCCAACACATCTACCCACTCCTTTCAGCACTGCATATTCAACTGCTTTATTTATTAACAGCTGCTTTATTTATTAAGACACCTCTGTGTCAGCTTTCAAACCTCTGTTTGATACTGGTTCAGTGGCAGAGAAAATCCATATAATGTCACAGTAACAGGATACAAAGAACTGATCTAGTATAAAAATAACTCTGTCGGTTGAAATTTGTTCCAGGCGTTTTGATGGAATATCTTTGCACTTGCAAAGCTTTGCACCCGAGAGGGTATTGTCTATTCTCGCACAGCCAGCCAAAATCATAAATCCAGCATGAACTTTGTGTTGCTTGCTCTGCTAATTTAGTGGGAATGTGATCGTGTGCCCAAGCCCAACCTATCTTAATCAAAAAGCGCACAAATCTGACACTGAATATCATTTAAGCACAACCAAAGAGGCAGCCACTGTCAGAAGAAAAGACAGTACTGGTGAAAAGGGTAACAACCATTTATGCCCGTGACAATTTTGATAACCAATTTCAAAATTCCATTACCATGGAAACTTCCGTTCTATGAAAATCATCCAGTGATTGGATGTGTACTGTGTCCTGCAACATATAGTATGGACTACATTATAATTAGAGAAGGACAGATATGCCAGATTAGGCAGCCCGTTCACTTGCATATTACTAACTGTGGGAATTATAAAGACTACAGGGCACTGTCTTGTCTTCATAACAGTTTTCTAAATGGAATTGTACTGCTCCTGTGAGCATTTATACAACCTTTCAAAAATGTAGCAGAACTGCTTCTTCACTGATAGCTTTAGGTTCACAAATAGGCCATAAATGTTAACTAAACACATACACAAAGAGGTATCTCCTTCCAATGAACCTCTATGGAGGTATCTCTAGCAGAGTTCTTTCATAGTACCAGCTCTATATAAAAATAGAAAAAAAAAGTGGGGAAAAAAGAAAGTACCTCAAACCCACAAACCAAGAAGCATATCCAGCAAAACTTGTTATTCTTTTCTGTGTACTAAGTGGTGTTTAACCTGGCATCATACCAGCAAAAACAAAAACAAGATCCTGAAGACTAGCAGAATCAGGGGAAACATCTACCTCAGCTGCACTCTTAACCAGCGTCATTGGTAAACAAACCTTTTTTCTCTATTTCTGTTGAAGATACATATGGAAAAATAGCACTAAATATGAGAGGAACCTTATCTGTAAGTCATTTGTTTTAACTCTCTAAGAAGGTGTGTTACGTGATCTCAATGTTGCAAACGTTTTGGGACATAATATTTTCATGAAAGCCATTCGAAACCTCATATGACAGACAGGGTAAAGAATTGGGTTCAAAGAGGAATTTATCCACAAAAGCCAAAAGGTTATTTCATACAAGGAGTTATGGATGCACTTTCCTTTGCAGGCCCCACGAATAATCATTAGCAAAGTGTATGGGGCCCAGCAAATGGCGAATACACACACAATTATGGCAAGTGACCTTGCAATTTTCTTGTCCTGCTGCAGTTTTGACCCAGTCGTTGAACAAAAAGAAACAGAGAAGTTCCTCTTGAGAGACGTGGGACTGGTTTGTGTTGGAGATGGAGAGTTAGCCATCACTGCTGGTCTCCACGACCTTAATGATGAAACACTGTCCTCTGCTTCCGACAGAGAAGATGATGTTCCTGGCCTTGGCAAAAGGCAAAATCTCCATGAGAGGCTGTCACGCCTTGCAGGCTGGTAGTCCTGTGTGCTCCCGTGCCGCTGGCGCCTCTGGATGTTGTGGAAGATGTGCACGTTGAAGTAGGTCACCGAGAGCAGCGGCACAAAGAACTCCAGGGTGGAAGCACACAGGAGGAAGTACCAGTTGTCGAAGAACTCGGCGTGGCACTGATCGGCCGCTACCACGCTGTATCCGGCCACATGCTCCCAGAAGAGGATTGCTGGGCAGTAGAGGAGGAAGGCAAAGACCCAGATGGCCACCATCTTGATGACAGGGTTGGATGTTGTTCCCTGCTGAGCTCTGTAAGACACCTGTGAAGGAAATAGATGTCATGTATTCAGATAACATTTTGTAATAACTATCTTAAAAAAACATAAGTAAAATATAATATTTCTTCTGCAATTCCCCAGACTTGCTCATCAACTACTGTAGCTCTGTGATTGATTATAGAAGTTATGATGGTTAAACTACTGTTTGGCTTCCAGGTGTGAAAGGACAAGGCTTGTTTTCATCACCACCACAGTAAGGTAGCAATAAGGAATCAGTTTATGATTCATGAAATGCCCAGGCTCAGAGGAGGGTGAAAGCAGCCGTGGGACCTCCTTCTGGCACAGGCAAAAGGAGAAACCTTCTGTATTAGACAGTTGCCATGTGCGACTGTGAACACTAGACAACATAATTTTTAATACGGTTTCCCTCTTGCCATAGCAGAAAAACCTTTCCCACACATATGCTTTAACAGCCCTTACTTTATTGAAACGTTCTGGTTTAACACTCTTTTTACCTTGTAAACAGCTCATTGTATTACTGCAAATCTTGACCTTTTTATGTCTACCCAGGCTGCATTAATTTACTTTACTCTCTAGCCATAAGTTATCTACCTTTGAGAAAAAACATTAAGAATTAAAATCATGTCATCCAAAGTTAGGAGAGTTAAAACTGCCTTTGTGATAGCCCAACAAGAATGCACAATACATACTTCTAGCTGTTGGTCCCCTGCACCTTTCAGAGCACAAGATGATCAGTTAATGAGAAACCAGACAATTTTATTTCCACCGAACTGTTAAACATGTCATCTCAGACTTTACTTTGACCCAGAACTACTACTTTCCTCATCAGCTTCCTATGCTGTTCATGCATGCTATATAAATATAAATTAATATAATTAATAATGTATCTTCACAGCTGCATACGACAGGAGGGGCATTGTCCTTATTTTACCAGTGAGTGACAGAGCAGTCGTGCAGTGTTACACACATTATTTTAGATTCTCTGTTTTAAACATCTGCAGACTGAAGATTCAGACTCCTCTACATCTAGAAGCATCACACCAGCTCAGAGCACAGCTCCAGTTCTGCAATAATAAATTTGCAGCTCTTCGCAAGACCACAAGTATCTCAATTTAGCAGGCAGAAAACAGGAAGCTTAGTACAGCTTCACAAAAAGTTAAGTCTGAAATGACTGGCCCCTGGCCACAAGTTAGGTTTGCAGAAGAGGCAGAAGTGGGTCCCAAGCCCATGAGGAAGCATGACATCTTTTCTTTGAATAACAGCCCTGTGTCACACTCCTGGACTCACTCCATCCTAATTACCTAAAGAAGAAAAGCAGAATGTGATCAGATAAACAAAGACCACCAACAGTGTATAAGAACACGGAGGTCAGCTGGGTTGCAGAGGCCTTTTTAACTTATGTTTCTCACATTCTGAGCTCTGCAACTTCATTGATACTTTTCAATATTACAATTTCTTAAATACAGGAATTTTCATACTTTATGGTTCAGCTTAAAAAAAAACAAACCAGCAACAACCAACCCTAAAAGCATAACACTGGGGAAGAAGAGAAAGATTAGGGCATTGTATTAGCCCTTCCCAAATGAGAAATTCCCAGTCTAATGCAGCCCATGTCACTTGAGGCAGCCTGCTCATCAAAAGCAAAGGATGTTGATCGTCTTCCATCTGAACCAAACACCAGGTAGAGCTTAGAAATGGTGAATGATAATATTTACCACTGTATTCCTCAGATACCTTCTGAAGCAGAAGGATGATAATACTCAAGAAACACCTCTTACCTCTCCATGTATTTTAATTCATTCTTCTTTTTGCTTCAAGGGATTAGTTTCCACCCAACTGCTTGTTGGCAGCATAGGTCAATCACCCCCTGTGCTAATGCAAATCCTCACCTGATCTTCAGTCAGTCCCTCCCACATCTCTCCACATACCCTCTTCTCCTCTTAAAATTTATCCCAAGCCTAAGCACATCCATGACTCAACACAGTTTTCATTACCACTCTTCTAATGATCAAAGCCCAAGTTCTCCACACTCCTGCTGCCCTCTTCCTACCTCGATCTTCCCACCTCCTCTGTAGTGTAATTAAATACTTTCTAATCCAGGCAGCAGGAGGGAAACACTGAAATCATAGGCAAGGCACTTTCCTATCTCTTAGCTCCAATGTAACACTGAGGCATCAACGTTTCTCCAGATAAAAATGGTACAATGATGAAGGACTAGATTCTAGTGTTAGTTTAGATTCTAGTGTTAGAGTCTAGTGTTAATTACGAACACTGAGTTTTTTATAAAAATCTTGATATATACATATATATAAAAAGAAATAATTAGAAATGTTGTTCTTACAGCTTTTGTAACTGACAGAAAACGGTCGTAGCTGATAAGAACAATGTTAAATACTGAAGCTGTGCACAGGAGATAGTCCAGAGCTAGCCAGAGCTTGCAGATGCCTCTTCCCAAGAGCCATTTCCCCGTCAGGCAGTAAGGGATGTAGAGAGGTATGCAGAATGCACCTATGGAAATAAACCAAATGCACACATCAGTCAGCACTGCAGGCATAGAAACACTTCTGTGGTGTCTGATAAAAGCACGATACTGACCAGAATTGCCAAGTGGAAGGCTTTGTATTCTCATGCAACCAATGAACACTTTACTACAAACTAGGCACCAGCAACATTCTTATAATTAACACCTTCCTGTAAGGTGTATTATGTTTATTGTGTAACTTCCTGTGTTTATATCACCTGCTAAAGGAAGGAACAGCTGAATTTTTTACCTGCTGAAGTAAAAGCTATTCTGTATTAACTACTGAAATTAAAAAAAAGAAAAAAAAAATCTTCCCCCCACCATGTAATTTATTGTTTTCTACATTAAATTATCTAATTGCCAAGATTTTATCCTCTTAGAAGCATGATATGGTGTTCAAAAGTGCTCCAGAAGTAACTTTTCTAGAAATACAATATGAATGTCAGACTGCTCTTTCAAACTGTATGATAAAAAGTCTGATAAAACCTGCACAGTTAATTAAGTTAATTAACCACAATTGTTGTGGTTTAACCCAGCAGGCAGCTAAACACCACACAGCCCTTAATTCGCTCCCCACCCCCAGTAGGAGGGGGGAGAGAATCAGAAAAAAAGGAGTAGAATTTGTGGGTTGAGATATAGAGAGTTTAATAGGACAGAAAAGGAAGGGATAACAATAAGATGATGATAAAAGAATGTACAAAACAAGTGTTGCACAATGCAATTGCTCACCACCCACCAACAGATGCCCAGCTGGTTCCCGAGCAGCGTGCCCCGGACAGCTTTCCCCCTTTGTTTATATATTAAGCATGATGTCTTATGGTATAGAACATTCCTTTGGTGAATTGGGGTCAAATGTCCCAGAGGTGTCCCCTCCCAACTTCTTGCGCAACTAAAACATCAGTGTGTTATCAACATTATTCTCATTCTAAATCCAAAACACAGCACTTTACCAGCTACTAAGAAGAAAATCAACTCTATCCCATGTGAAATCAGGACAATACACCCAGACTAAAATCTCTTCTCATTGTAATTTTTCATCATAACTACTTTTCAGTGGTGAGCTGATAAGATGTTCTCTATGGGAACACACCAAGCATACATGAATGATCTACACCCAAGGCTATCTAAATTTAGTCTGTTAAATCCAAATGCTGTGAAAGTGCCACTAAATGAATTTCTAGGTGACCATACTACACACACAGTCATAATGCAGCCTTTAAGGCTGAAGAGCTGATGGTGTAGTTTGCTGTGACACAGAAATGCAGTGAACAGTATCAGCGCTGCAAGGAAAGGGAATCACTGCATCTACAGAGCAACTAACACTTGCTCTTTCAAGAAAAAGATTACAGATTTTAACATTCATGAGGAAAAAAAAAAAAGGGTATTGTTTCCATTTTAAATTTACAGGTACTGAAGAGCATCTTGAGAGTTTCCATTTCTCTAAAAATCTTACGATTCCTGTCATTCTCCCTCTACTAAGAATCAAGACACCTCTATTCAAATTCAGCTATAGCTCCAGAAGCACAGAGATAAAGCAAAAGTTGTTGAAGGTCAAAATCAGATAGATTAAATATATGAAAAGAATAAGCAGAGGGCTCTGAAAGCATGAAAGTGTGTGCTTTTAGCAATTAGGATCAAGGAGAAATTAAGGATAATTTAGGTATGCCCTGAATCTAAATTATATAGCTACAGAAATACAAATCAGTTTGACTCTAAAGTATGCAAAGCTTTTAACCAAATTTAGAATGAAAAAACAGACATTCAGGGTAACATAAGGTCATGAAACAAAAAATTTACAGAATTTAGATAATGCTAAGTGAGATCTACTTCCTTCTTTGATAGGGGATATTATTTACTTTGTACTTCTCAGCTAGATGCTGGTATTTGTTCAATATGATGCTAGATTGTGAGCCAGATGACAGAACACCATTCTGTCTACTGGTTTTCTGTTAACTGTTGATTCTTTTCCTGTGTTTTTTTTTCCTGTTTCCTCCTGGCAGCAGGCAACAAGAGCTCTGCGGCACAACAAGGCAGATATAAGCTGGAAGAAGACATGAAGTTATGGGGAAAGGGATCAAAACATTATACAAGGGGATCTAGGCATCACCAGGACTGGACTATTAGAAGCCATGCCCCTTAACAGAACTTCTGACACTGGCAGTAAATTTTAAGAAGATTTTCTGCTGTTTTTTCAGTATCCTGTTTAAATGTGTAGGGAAAAAAGTGGCATAAAAACAGTTTAAAAATATTTTGTTGTGATGTGACAAGACAGTATATAGATTTCATGAAATAGCCACACCTGTTTAAAACCACCTTTCTGCATAGTCAATAATTTAATCAAGACTTTTACCAGAGACACTCAAGACTTTACAGAATATTGCAATACATCGATCTCCAATTGCACATCACACTAACATTTTAATTGTAATTTTCCTCAGCATGTTTCAAAATAAAATGGCGTCTCTGTATAAAAATATATGCATGACATCAAACTTCTTAGAAACTATTTGATTTCTTATTTTTACTTACCTATATAAACACATATTCTTAAGGTACGACTCTAGATAGAACACGTACAGCAAACTATTTAAAAATAATATTCATCACTATTTTGTTGCAAACTTCAGATGATTATCTGTATTGTGTTAGAGTAGATTAAAAAAGAAATCAACCATGTATGCAAGATCTGCCAGATAATATATGCTGTACTCAGTTTGACTATTCAGACTTCAGACTCTTCACAAACAACTCCCATTATTTGTTACTCCATACAGATGATTCATGCACACGACTGTTTTTATGGCCGTAACATTAAACAGTAGCTGTTAACCTGGCAAAGGATCCACTTCTTATAGTAACATATTTCAGAAAAATAGTAGGCTGCTAAGGCGCTTAATGCAGTTTCCTCCATTCCTTCCCCTCCTCCTAGAGACAGAGCTGGGAAATAGTTCTCTTAGAAGAAACCAACCACCCAGCAAAAGAAGCCCCCTCGCTTCTCCTAAGATCCCGAGGAAACAATCAGCACACGCCTCCACGGCTGCCACTTACCCACTGCAAAGTCAGAAATGGCAAGGTTGAGAAAGTAATAGTTACTCCGGTGCCGGAGGTTTCTGTCCATGATGAAAGCAAGGATCACCAGGACGTTTCCGAGGATGGTGACCAGAGCCAGCAATGCCATGAGGAAGGCCAGCAGCACCAACACGCCCAGGGAAAACTCGGGGCTCGGCGGCTCTGTGGGAGAAGTCTCATTAAGTGCTCCGGCCACGTGCAGGGTTTCGGCAGTGCTGTTGTCCATGTTGCCTCTCCAGGTCAGGTCAGTCGGGGAAGAGTTATCTGCATCTGGCAGAGTTATCCAAAAGGTTGAGATCCATAAAGAGGATAAACAGGATGGGCCCAAAATCCAATAAACAAAAATTAAAAGGTTGTGATACTAGATAAATCTAGTTTTTGTAAAATTTTGTAGTTTTAATAAATACCAATGCATCTGAAGCCATGTGTGTCTCTAGAAGTTACCAGCAAGAAACATGTAGTTTTTCAAGCTCATATTTTAAAATGCAAGCTCTTCTTTAAGCAACCTGATCCTTATCTGTGGAGGTCAGAAGGGCTGGTTTGAGAGTATCTCTTGCTTTCTTCCCTTCCTCCCTCTCTCATTCCCTCCCTTGCAGAGGCGTTTTGCTTGTTAGCATTACGGACATCATCTTTTTCTGGAAATTGTTCCTTAATCATGGGCACATAACCTTACGAGAATTTAAACTACTTTCTAACTTCATCTCTGTTTATCTGGCGTCATTGTATTTCAGCAAGTCTGTGGTCCCTTCTCTATTGCATTATATCTTTTTGTTGACCAAAGGCACGGTCAACTTTGTTGTTGCTGTTGTGGTTCCTCTTTCTGTGGAACCTAGGGCTGAGAAGGACATGCTGTAAATAAGCATCTATACAATTACTTACCAGAGCAGTTAACCAGTAAGGGTCCAACCCTCAGACATCAGGGGTGCAAAATTCTCACTGAAATTAGTTTCAAACTCCGAGTGGCAGCCCCTGTGACACAGCATCAGCTGCTGCCAACCCAGAACTGAGGAACGAATTACTGAATTCCTGTAACATGAATGGGAGCTTGGCAATTAACTTTAATAGGACTAGGCTCTTCTTTCCACACTGGTGGGAGAAATCATTGTGTCTTCCACAAGTGCTTATATTTTGTATGAGTAATGAAGCCTCTTGCAGAGAGCTGTGAGTATTCCACAGTTGTAAAAATTCAATAATTTGTATTATGGATTCTAAAAAGACTTTGGTGTCTAATTTTAGATACTTAAATTTGAAAAATGTTGGCTGTCACGTCTGTGCTTCTGTTGTGGGAACAAATTCATTAGCATTTGCCAAGTGCTTTTACTAAATGTTTGAATGGCAGCCGTACAAAAAATGCAAAACTTTATTATCCATACAAATATCTTCACAGCATGCCCTTCCATTTCTGCTTTAAGCTTTATTTCATTCCCAGGTAATGCTGGAAATGTGGAAAACACACTTTGGCAATGACTACACTAAGCAATACCACTAGCCTTTCTTCTCCTAGTAATACTGAAGCTGATCTACATGAAGTTTTTGAGGTCCGCTATTTTGTGGTTGAAAATACTAAACAGCAGTGAACAAACATGAGGTCAAATTAAGGGTTTGGCCAAGTCTGTATCCTGTCTCAACCACCTGTAGCCTAAGGATTTGCCATGTGTAAGAACATGGCAAAATACACTGCTGGTGTGCTCCCCCTGCCTCCAGTGATTTGTGGCTCAAGATGCCAATATGGTACCAGAAGTGACATTTGATTGTTTTATTTTCACTTTATCTTCTAAACAGCCACGTTCTTAGCCCAAGAATTTCTCCTTCTGCATTTTATTGGTAATAAAAGACAACACAGGGCTCCTATAGGCCTCTAAGGAGGGTAACATTCCTTCTGCGATTGCTTCCCTGCATTCAAATCCACAGAACAGCAGGGAAATTGCCACAGATACTGCCAAATCACAGATCCTACATAAACTGTTACCATGTCCCAATTATGCTTTTTCTTTCCTCATACCTAATGCAACCAGTCCTTTTTGGACTGGTCTCGCCTTATCAGGGGAGCAAGAGCTCGCTCCTGTGCATTCAAAGTGACAATCCCTTGCTAAGAAGCACTGAAGCCAGGGCACCTCTCAAGCACACAAACCTTCAGAGGTGCATGCTCAGAAGCTGCACTGAGACACGTATCCTAGAGGAAAGCACATAACAGACTAGATTGACTTCTAGTAGCCATGGGGCTGCTTGCCCTCAGTCAGGAAGGGGTCCTGGAACAGATTTCCCCATAGCCAGTAACATTCCCCCCCCGTTTCAACTGCAGAAGATAAGAGAAGACTCAAGCTCTTAAGTGTTCTTTACCACTGGGAACATTTGGATATGCTTTGATTCCTAACTTGTCCCTCAATGGCCAGAAATGCCAGCTTGAGCTGGCAGGCTTTCTACAGACTGGCATCTACAATGAGACAATGCACAGCCACCAGTCTCACAAGAAAAGAATTTGTTTCAATCTCCTGAAATCTCCAAGACGACCAAACAGTTGCAAAAAAACCTTATTAAAGCAGAAAAATCATAGATCAAAACTGTGTTCCAAAATAATATCTTTTTTTGGTAAAAACCACAGAAATAGACAAGCCGCAAGACTGAAAGCCACTGTTTGTAGCAATTGCAAAAGCCCTTACCCAAGTATTATGCATTTTTTTCTCCAGTGAGAATCTGTGCTAAAAGAATTAAAGCTACAGTGGCAGGTAAGTTACTAAGCCACACCACCAATGTCCTTTGGAACTACTCTGCCTCAGAATGGTGCAATCACAGCTCTTTGAAAAAGTGAGCATAATGGTTTGGGCCCCTTTCTTCTCTCTCGAGCTGCTTTACAAAGTATATCTAGAAAGGTTCTCGTTGTATCTTAACCCAGAATCTTCAGTGCTGAGGTCCTGAAACAGAAGAGTATTACGAGTATCAAACAAGGAGGCTGCCCACAGAACGGCTTCCAAGACGCCATGACCACATCCTCAGTTTTGCAGCATGGAACAAATTATCATAGTTTTAGTACACAAATACGTAACGGCTGTGCTATAGCCTGTTAAGCTAAGATACAGAGCTTAATTGTTTAGATTCTTCTAAGAAATACAGTATCACTTTGAATTACCTGCTTTTCTTTGACATTCTTATTTATTAATACAAGAATTAAGACATTGGCTTAAGTGTAGTAAATTTCAGCAGTCCTAGAGTCCCATGGGAACCTGGAAATTCTCAGCTCCACTTCTGGTCCAAGTGGACCCCCCCTTGTAACTTTTTAGTCTGTTACTTGATCTCTTTGCTAGGGATTCCTTACTCCTAGAGGAGGGTAATGCTTAGGGAGCTTCTCAAAACCGGAGGGAAGTTCTGCATTAATTAATACAGCACATCAGTGGGAAGAGAAGGAAAGATACACTCTCCAAAGTAACTTTAGTCTATCAGTTAGAATAACTCATTTGGGAAGCAAGGAAGTTAGATTTCAGAGCCTCCAAAATGAAGCTGAAGACAGGGTTCATCCTAGCTGAGTGCTCTACCCATACATTCTTCAGTCTCAAAAGGAGAGTGAGCTGCTTCACTGCTTTTCATGAGAAACAGCTGACCTTACCAAACAGCTTAAGTCCTGGGGTGCTTTCTAGGAGAATACAGCGACCTAATTCCTTTCCAACTCCCTCCCTCAACATTTCTTATTGGAGCTAACTTAGATCTAACTTGGTTTCTCAAAATCTTAGATATCTAATTCTCCTACACCATGCCCATGGGCAGCAGCACCTAAAACTACACTCATGTGCCTTGGGAATGTACTTCCGACGTCACAGACCTATTTTGCACAAGTCATGATGCCACATAACCAACCTGTTCTCACCCAAAAGATAATCTACACCAGTCAGCACATTTTATCTGGGGGGTGGGAAGGTTTGGTGGGGTCTGGCTTTTCTAGGTTGGTTTTTTTGGTTTTTTTTGTTTTGTTTTTTTTTAAACATCAGCAGTGTAAGAGTATTTTAATAGAAGATCCATGACATAAGCTTTGAGCACAATTTTTTTGGGTGACTACAACTAGGATTAAACCAGTGTAGAAAACGTGCCTAGCTAGAAAAATATCCGAAGTAGATAATAAACTGCTGACTTTCTACTGGGGTCAGGGCGGCATATGAACTGCTCGGTGATAATCCTATAAAATTATATGGATTTTTTACTCAAATAGACATGCTAGAAAATAAATGCATAGCATGGGATAATACACCAAAAGAATCCACAAGTAAATGTTACAACTTTCTCTTCCCTTCCTTCTTCCTCAGGCATTAAACAAGAACAGACACTAAACAGTAAAAGCACCACCCTGAATTACCTGATTATTAAAGTGTTCAGACTTTACAACAGCAAGAAATTACAAGCAGTCCAGAATTGCTATGCTGCAATTAAAAAAACAATTATCTTCACTTTTAAATTTAAGGGCAGTAGATTTTAAAAATAACTGAGCTTTCCATATTTACAGATATATGGTAAGACATTCAGAGGAAATGTTCTGTCTCATCACCACTTCTTGAAGAGAAACTTGTAAGAATGACAGTTCTTTCCCATTGCTCAACTGTCTTGAATTCATTAAGGCTCTTCTGTCTGAAGTCTCTGTTTTACAGAGAAACCACCTGGTAGTTCTTTAGAAGGTATTTTGCTAACAAAATATCGCCATCTGAGACCAGATGCAGACTCCAGCTCTTGGTCCAGTCACTTCAGTTTGAGGAACAAAGGAAAATAAATCATTCTGATACTACCTTGTAGGACAGTGGGGTCCTGTGGTGAGTAATCTGGTTTCACCCATACTCCTGATTGATTTCCAGAAGAGCAAAGCAAAAACAGTAAAAGAAAGAGGCAAGCCAGAACAGTATGGCAAAAAAGGTTAAATGGAAGTCACAATCCATCTTTTCCCACTAGCGTTTGATTCTTCACAGACATATTTTTATGACAGGCAACTGTTCTTTAGGCATGGATTACTGCTATTATCTTTTTTGCCCTTTTTTTTTTTCCCCCAGATAATTAAATTTATAATTATTCCACAAGTAAGGACTATGCATACCACAAGTAGGGACTATGTATCCCACCAATATTGTCTTAAACAAATTTGCAGCATTTGACAACAAAAACTTACTGTGAAAACTGCTGCTTCAGTTTAGCACTAAAAATAATATCCTAATGGAATGTTTAAAGTTAAAGCTGTTGCAAGCCATTTTTTAAGTATCTTTCCCTTGCTAGATCCCACTTGCTAGTTTACATACACACAATTTATTTAATGCAATCTGATTTCTCATCAGGTTGCAGCATCAAGCCCTGGACTGAAGAGCACTGGTGCCCCATTCTGATTTAGTTGATTTTTCAGTACATTTCTCTGGATTCTTATTTATAAACCCTTAACTTGCAGGAAAATATTAAACCATCAGAGTTGACATAGACAATCAAGACTACTACGTTGTTCAGCAGTAGGAGTTTAGAATATCAGTATTTATAATAATGCACTTAACAGGAGTTTGTGTCCCCAACTCACTCAAAAGCAAAGGCTGACTTCACCCTTGTTACCTGGCCGGGAGGAAGCTGTGCTGTATCTAAAGCAGATCTCCTGTCAGCACTCTTCAGATAAGAGGGCAAAAATTCATTCCTTT